TGATGTCTTGCCTGCCCAGGCGGGTCTCGAACCTGCAGGCTCAGGCAATCCTCTCACCTCAGCCTCCCAAAGGTGGGATTACAGGCTGAGCCACCGAGCCCAGCTTAATTTTTGATTTACTGTAGAGACAAGGTCTCACCAATTTGCCCAGTCTGGTCCCGAAACTGGGCTCAGGCAATCCACTAGCCTCAGCCTCTCGAAGTGCTAGAATTACGGGCTGAGCTACCGAGCCCAGCCCCTCAATTTTTTTTTTTTTTAATAGGAGTCTCACTCTGTTTACCCAGGCTAGAGTGCAGTGGCACACTCAGAGGCATCCTTCCACCTCAGTCTTCCAAGTTGCTGGAACCACAGGCATGCACCACCACACCCAACTAATTTTTTGGTTAACTGTAGAAACAAGGTCTTGCCAAGTTGCCCAGGATGGTCTCGAACCCCTGGACTTAGGTAATCCTCTTGCCTCAGTCTCAAAAAAAGTAAAAACAACAAAAAATTAGTATGTTAAGCTTGGAGTGGTGGCTCATGCCTATGATCCTAGCACTTTGGGAGGCCAAGGCAGAACTGCTTGAGGTCAGAAGTTTGAGACCAGCCTGGGCAGCAGAGCGATACCTTGTTTCTTCCAAAAATCCAAAAAACATAGCTAGGCATGGTAGTGTGTGCCTGCAGTCCTAGCTACTCAGGAGGCTGATGTGGAAGGATTGCTTGAACCCAGGAGTTTGAGGCTGCAATGAGCTATATTGCACCACCGCACTCCAGCATGGACAAAAGAACAAGACCTTGCCTCAAAAACAAAAACAAAACAAAAAGGTAGAATTCAGTATGTTTAAAAAAAAAAATTTAGGCTGGGCACAGTGGCTCATGCCTATAATCCCAGTACTCTGGGAGGCTGAGGTGAGAGAATTGCCTGAGCCCATGGGTTCCAGACCAGCCTAGGCAACTTGGTGAGACCTCTTCTCTACAATAAATCAAAAAATTAGCCAGGCATGGCACAGGACTGTAGTTCCAGCTACTTGGAAGGCTGAGGTGGAAGGATCGCCTTAAGCCCAGCAGATCAAGGCTACAGTGGCTGGGAGCGTGCCACTGCCCTCCAGCCTGGGTGACAAGAGTGAGACTCCCACTAAAAAAAAAAAAAAAATTAGTATGTTTTACAGAATTTATTTCATGATAAATTTTTTACTTCTGCCAAATTATCTCATTCTTCCAAATACATGGTGTGAAAAACAACCTCAATTTAATATGTTCTAGGACAAGTGTGTGACACAGCTGAGGAGGGGCCCTCCTATTCAATCTCTCCTCCTTATCCACGGCTGCCAGCTGTATGTGGCCACTCAACTAGCAACTACATTTCCTAGACCCCCTGTAGCCACAGCACTGCAGTGGAATTGGGGTCAGGCACCTGGATCCTCAGGCAGGATTGGTGGGCAGCTGGCTACCAAGGCAGATCAGCTCTGTCTGAGGTGGCCACAGCCCTTGTACCCACATCTGGTCAGTAGCTTCTCATATGTGACTGAATGATTCTGGGCACTCAAGGAAGCACCAGTAACATCCTTCTGAACTCTAGATCAAAGCTCAGTCAGGGACTGCAAACCTGAACTCAGATATCTCAAACCCAGACTGTCCTTCCTGCCACTCTCCAGTGATTTCAGGAGAACCAAGTTCCCTGCATTAAATCCCTTTCTGCCTGAAGTACCTACAACGATTTCCGTGGCACCTTTGCTCCAACAGTTGGCACTTTTGTGTGGATTAGAAAAAGGGGAAGAAACATCTCTTCCTTAACACTTGTAATCTGTTAGAAAATTGTTGGAATCAACACATATGCCTACAAGGTGAATACTGTGCCCTTAAAGGTGGCATTTTTGTGCCTAAGTGTACATGGCAGCCCCAAATTTCCATTCCTGTTGCAAATTTGGACGATACACAAATTGCCAAAGCAGTAAATGCAATCTAAGTGTAGACAATAGTGCTACACAATTCTACATCTTCTCCAAGGTTGCAAACCTAAAAATCCCAAGAGGTCCAAAAACCCAGGATGTGCTGATGTGCAGTGAAAAGGAATGATGGAAGCCACAAAAATAAAACAGACAAATGGCTGTGAAAAACCAAACCTCAAAAAACCACTTTAATTCCAGCCTAACAGCGCCAGGTGCAATGTCTGGGGACAGACTCTGGGTACAATGCTGTGTGGCGACCACTCACTCACACACGGCTCTGAGAAGGCCCCCAAGGGGGGACTTACCTTCAGGGGTCTGAGCCAGGGGGGAGGGGTGGCCCCAGAACAGGGCAAGGGGCAGGCATGGGGGAAAGGTGCTACTTCTTGGCAAAGGAGATCTTCATGGCATTGTTCTGGGTGATCTTGAAGCCCTGCAGGGCGTCACGAGCTGCCCCTGCCTGCACCTCGTTGTCAAACTCCACGAAGGCGATGTCATGCCGCCCAGGGACCAGACGGACCTCCTTGAAGCCAGGGAACCTGAGAGAAGGGGAACAGCAGACCTCAGAGACTCAGAGTTTCCTTCTAACATTTTGGCCAGGGATGATGCTAAACATCCTACAATGCCCATCACAAAGAATTGTCCAGACAAAAATGTATACAGTGCTGACGAATAAACCCTAGTGGAAACATAACACTTAGTGAAAAATTTTTAACATAACACCCATGTAACCACAGCCTAAATCAAGAAACAGTACACCGTACCTTTCCCAATCATAACTCATACCCCGCTCCAAAAATAACTGACACCCTCACTTTTACGATCTGCTGTTTCTCTAATTTCCTCTTCTCATTCCTGACTTCCTTCTCCACTGTGCAACCATCCTGTTTACTGGGTGTCCTTTTCCCATCGGTATTCTTATAAAGCATGTGTTGTTTTGTGGACATGCTGCATGTGTGGTACTGCTTTTCTATTTTACTCAGGTCCTCAAGACATCCTCTCAGCACTACTACAAAGAGCCATCCATGCTGCTCTTTCTGTTCTTCTAACTGCTGCACAGTTCACCATGGTAGGCATCTGTGTTGAACCCTTCCCTTCTCCCAGACTCACCACCACAAATATTGGAATGAATACCCCATTCAAGCCCCCTGGGACTTGTGCCATGAATTTCTATAGGACGTACAATCAGAAACAGAACCACCAGGCAGAAGTCACTCCCGCCTACACCCTGACATCGCTCAACAGTGAGCAGTCCGCAGGGCATGAGGGTTCATACATCTCCATCTCCCACACTTGTTTTCGATCATGCTGATTTCTGCTACATCTAGCCAGTGTTCAGATGTCTTGATGTTGCTTTACATAAACCCTGCATTGCATTTCTTCATTGTCAAAACTGGAAAAATGAGACCCAGAGCCTGGACCAGCCCCCGACCCCTAACATGGGCTGATGAAGGCTGGCATGCCGTGGTCCAGTCATCCCTCCAGCCTCATCACCACACATCACCCTCCTTTAAGTCACTGTCCCTCCTGCAAAGCATGAGCTGGCTCAGGACTCCGCCAGCAGAATTCTGAGGCCTGTTCCTGTGGTGACCCCTCCTGGCCATCACCCTCCAGCCACCCCAAGCCACAGGCCCCACTCACTGGTTGAAAAGCATGGACAGCATGAGCTCGTTGGTCTCTTCTGGCAGGTTGGTGAGGAACAAGATATGATTCGGCGGATTCTCGGAAAGCTGCCAGACAGGGAGGGAGCCCATGAGCACAGAAGCTCTGAGTCTAGTGTAGGATCTCTATACTACCCTTGCTCTCCATCCCTCACCCTGCCTAAATTCGTTCTAGCACTTCTACCGGACACACCATATGCTGTTGCCTCCTACCCCCACCCCCTTGCCCCGACAAACTGTAAGCCACATGACAGCAGAGATTTTTCTGTTTTGGCCACTGCTGTAACCCTAGGGCACAGACAGGGCCTTTGTATAAGCAGGTGCTTAGTAGATGTTCACAGAATGAATCTCGGTGCTGGTCACCACTCTGGCTTCACCCCAACCTTCCAGAACCTCCTACAAACATGGCACTTCCTTCCTGCCCCAGGACCCAACCCCACTGCTACATCCTCATCATTCAGGGAGCTCTGTTCCAGCATCACCTCTTTGGGGTGGGGACCTATCCAGGCACTCAATCTAAAAATAGCCCCCAGAATCAGTCCTTTTCTAGTACTGTACTCTACTTATATGAGGCCTCGAGGGAACGAGACACTTACAGGTTGGGCAGGTGGCATCTGTCCCGGCATGAGCTGCTGTGGAGGCATGGCCCCTGGTGGGATCTGGCCAGGTGCAAGGCCTGGTGGTGGGATCATGCCAGGAGGTGGCATGTAGGGCGGTTGGCCAGGCATGTGGTGCATGATGCGGGGTGCCTGAGTCATTGGTGGCATGCCCTGTGGAGAGAGGGAGGACAGGCTGACGTGCCGGCAGGTGGGAGAGGAGGTTACGGGGACCCCAGGAGGCAAAGGGGAAGAGGCCATTAGAAGAAGCCTGATAGGTAACAGAAACAAGGAAAAAGACTCAAACTTGGAAAGAGGTGAAAAAGGTACCCAAAGAGAGCTGAACAGAACAAAACAGATCCAGGGTCAGGAAAAAAATTAAACCAGAAAATGTTAAAAAAATAAATAAAAATGAGCCGGGCTCAGTGGCTCAGCCTATAATCCCATGCATTAGGAGGCTGAGGTGAGTGGATTGCTTGAGCCCACGGGTTCGAGACCCACCTGGGCAATGTGGCGAGACCTCATCTCTACAATAAATCAAAAAATTTGCGGGGTGTGGTAATGCATGCCTGTAGTTCCGGCTACGTGGAAGGCTGAGGCAGAAGGATCGCCGGAGCCCAGCAGGTCGAGGCTGAGGTGGCCGGGAGAGGCCACTGCACTCAAGTCTGGGCAACAGAGTGAGACTCCAACTCAATAAATAAACAAATAAATAAATAAAATAATAAATAAATAAAAATGTAGCACATAACAACTCCAGTGTGACCCAAATTTGCTCCTAGATATATATGAATAGAAAAAAAAAGACTGAAGAGAAACAGCTAAATATTAACTGCTAATTCAAAGGGGTGGAAATAATATTCATTCTAATGAACATATTGGACTTTTGCTTCTAAAAAGAAAAAAATGGGCTGGGTGCAGTGACTCACCCCTATAATCCCAGCACTTTGGGAGGCTGAGGTGAGAGGACTGCCTGAGCCCATGAGTTCAAGACCAGCCTGGGCAACTTGGCGAGACCTCATCTCTACAATAAATCAAAAAATTAGTCGGGCATGGTGGCATCTGCCTGTAGTTTCAGCTTCTTGGAAAGCTGAGACGAAAGGATTGCCTGAGCCCAGCAGGTCGAGGCTGCGGTGGCCGGGAGCGTGCCACTACACTCCAGCCTGGGCAATGGAATGAGAAAGGAAGGAAAAAAAATGAAAAATCATTAGCCGGGCATGGTAGCATGAACCTGTAGTTCTGGCTACTTGGAAGGCTGAGGTAGAAGGATCGCCAGAGCCCAGCAGGTTGACGCTGGGGTGGCTGTGAGTATGCCACTGAACTCCAGCCTGGGCGACGGAGTGAGACTCCAACTCAAAAAAAAAAAAAAAGAAAAGAGAGACTTAGGAAGAAAAAGGACAGCGGAGGGCAGAGATGGAAAGGGATGGTCAGGGCAGGGGCAGTTAGAACTGGGTGACGGCGAGTGACGAGGGAAGACAGCCTAGTGGCACTCAGCACAACTGAGAGCTCGAACCCAATCTGAAGAGTCAAAAGTGGACAAAAAACTGGGTCCAGGAAAGAGGAGAGGGAACAGGAGCCCAACAGTAACCCAGACTCAGACACCATTGCCAATTCCAGAGACAGTATGGGCATCAAAAGCAGGTAACCCAGTCGAGAGCCGTGAGACTCACAAAGCAAGAGAGACGCACAGGCTCGGCAACCTAAGGAGTAGGTTTGAGTCACCCCTCTTCTCTTCTGTACTTCGTGCTTTTTGTATCCAGTTTGGAAAACAGGATGTTTCTACTTTTCATGCCCTCAATCAGAGTCATGAAGACATTTTCCTGCTTTCTTCTGGAAACTTTATTGGGTTAGCTATCACATTCAGATCTGTGATTTATCTTTGCATATGGTATGAGGTGGGACTAATTTTTCTTGTACTCCCCCCAATCTGGCCAGTGCACCCACACCAAGGTAGTACTAATTTTGCCCCTTATAGATAGCCAACTGCTGAGCATCATGTTGGGAAAACTAAGTGTGGTGGTCCTTTGGCCACACATCAAGTAACCACACCCATGGACTGGTTTCTAGACCCTTTACCCAGCCCTCTGGTCCGTCTTCCCACCCTTATGCCAACAGCACAAGGTTGCCAGAGCTTTAAAACAAGTCTCCGGCCCTGGCCATTCTGTTTCCCCACCTTGTCCTTCTGTCTACCTTGACCTCATCTTTCCTCAGATGTTTAGAAACAGCCAGTCAGCGCTGACCAAAATTCCCAATGGGATGTGTATTGCAATCATGGTGAATCTTAGATCAGTTTGGAGAAAACTGGCCTCTTTTTTTTTTCGGGTTTGAGTCTCCCTTTGTTGCCCAGGCTGGAGAGCAACGGCACACTCACCATTGCCACAGCCTCGACCTACTGGGCTCAGGTGATCCTTTCGCCTCAGCCTTCCAATTAGCTGGAACCACAGATGCACGCCATAACACCTGGCTAATTTTTTGATTTATTGTAGAGATGAGGTCTCCCCATATTGCCCAGGCTGGTCTCAAACCCCTGGGCTCAGGCAAACCTCTCAACTCTGCCTTCCAAAGTGCTGGGAAAAATTGACCTCTTATCACTGAGTCTTCCCATCCACGGCTGAGGCCTACAGTATCTCCCAGCAGTGTTCTGCTGTTTCAGTGGCGTGGTTCTGCCCACCTTCTTCTGGGGGATTTACTCCTTGCTATTAGTTTCCAGGATGAAGCCTACTTGTTTGTTACTAGCATACAGAAATAAATCTGGGCTGGGCGCAGTGGCGCAAGCCTGTCATCCCAGCACTTTGGGGCCTACAGGTTCGAGACCAACATGGGCAACTTGGCGAGACCACGTCATTACAATAAAAACAAAAAAATTAGCTGAGCATGGTGCCTGTAGTTCTAGCTGCTTGGAAGTCTGAGGTGGAAGGATCGCCTGAGCCCAGCAGGTCGAGGCTATGGTAGCTGTGAGCAGTGTGCCAGCCCAGCCTGGGCGACGGAGTAAGACTCCAACTCAAAAAAAAACTTTTGTAAATTAAATTCACTTATGCATCCTAACAGTTGGTTAGTATATTCTCCTGAATTTTTTGCATGGACACTGACGGGTAGCAAAATCAAGGCCAAGGAGAGAAAAACCAAGACAACAGACATGGAGAATGACCTTGAGAAACAGATACTAGGCAAGGTGGCTCACGCTTATAATCCTAGTATCTTGGGAGGCAGAGGTGAGAGGACTGCTTGAGCCCAGAGGTTTGAGACCAGCCTGGGTAACTCGGCAAGACCTCGTTTCTACAATAAATCAAAAAATTAGCTGGGCATGGTGGCACATGCCTCTGGCTCAAGCTACTTGGAAGGCTGAGGCAGAAGGATCGCTTGAGCCCAGTAGGTCTAGGCTGCAGTGGCAGTAAACATGCCATTGCACTCCAGCCTGGACAACAGAGTGAGACTCCTATTCAAAAAAAGGGAGAGAGAAACAGGCAGACAGGAACAGACGTTTCAAGTAGAGATACCATCAACCAGGTGCCCAACACCCTCAAACATTCGACAGACACACAATCTCTGTGTGGAAAAGGAATGGAGGGGTCTGAATCCCTAGGGGGACAACTCTCCCCACTCTGACCCCAAGCCAGGTTGTGTGACGGAGGAAGGCCTGAGGGCAAGAGACAGTCTCTGTGCCCTGGCTTACCGGGACAGGTCCCTGGACAGCTCCCACCACAGGGGTGGCTGCTCCACCCTGCACAGCCTTCTTCGAAGCTGGGGTCTCCTGGCTCTTGGGCTTCCTCTTCTCCCGCTTGCGGTCACGCTCCACAAAGGTGCCCTTCATCTTGGCAATGATATCTGAGTCGGTCTTGGCATACTGGATGCGCTACCAAACAGAGCAGAAGGGTTAAAAGCATGGACCTCAGAGCCAAATTGCCTGGGTTCAAAATCAGACCTGACCAGTTTACTGGAAAACATAGAAATTGCTTGGCCGAGTCTGTAAAACAGGGATTATGATATTTCCAACTTCAAAGAACTGTTCTGAGAACTAAATGAATGAAAGCATTTAGAACAGTAACTGACGCAGAGTAAGAGCAGACAGGTTGCTGGCTCTTTTAAGGGAAGCTAGGACAGCCCTAAAGCAGCAGTTCAAAGGTCTGAGGAGACAACGCTAGGACAGGCGTACTACATGGGAGGTTTCCACTCACACAAGAACACAGTCCAATCTTTCAGGTAGAATTTCATTCATTTTGCTGTTCATGGAGCTGCCAGGTTCTGGCAATATATTGATGACAAAAATAGACAAATGCCCCCACCCTTATGGAGTTTATCCAGTGGGGAAAGGCATGTTAAAGACTTTTAGCCAGGTATGGTGGTTCACGTCTGTAATCCCAGCACTTTGGGAGGCTGAGGTGAGAGGATTGCCTGAGCCCAGGGTTCAAGACCAGCCTGGGCAATTTGGTGAGACCTCGTCTCTACAATAAATCAAAAAAA